TAAAAAAACACGTAGGTATCTCTAATATATTATACACTAGCTGTTCCCGCGACTTCGTCCACGTGGTTTTTAACTTTATTTTTCTAAAATAAAAGTAGCCTAAGTTACTCCTTATTACATCAGCTACCTGCCAAAAAAAGTCCCGTCAAAATCAGTCCAGCCATTTCAGAGATTAGCCGGAACAAACAGACAGACAGACAAAAATTGTAAAATATGTTATTTTGGTGTATGTACCGTATTTATATTCATATGCAAGTAGTAAAAAACGGTTATTTCAATATTACAAACAACAGGCTTCAACATTCTCAAGTACCACAAAAAAGATGTTTTTATTAAAAACAAGGTGTTCCCGCGACTTCGTCCGCGTGGAATTTAACTTTATTTTTCTAAAATAAAAGTAACCTAAGTTACTCCTTATAAATCAGCTACCTGCCAAAAAAAGTACCGTCAAAATCGGTCCAGCCATTTCAGAGATTAGCCGGAACAAACAGACCGACAGACAGACTAAAATTATAAAAATAGTTATTTTGGTATATGTACCTTATATATATTCATATGCATGTAGTAAACATTACAGTAAAATTTTGTCAATAACATAATAGCAACTTAAACATTAAATCTCGGTATATCTATAGACTAGCTGGCCCCAGCGACTTCGTCCGCGTGAAATTTTATTTTATTTTTCTAAAATAACAGTAGCGTAAGTTACTCCTTATTACATCAGCTACTTGCCAAAAAAGTCCCGTCAAAATCGGTCCAGCTATTTCAGAGATTAGCCGGAACAAACAGACAGACAGACAGACTGTACTATGCTATACTATGTATTGATTGATATACCTAAAATAAATAAAATATCTGAGGTTTGGACAAAAACTCAAAGGGTAATTTATTTTGAAAAAGTATTTTGAAAATACCTATTTTGCTTTTAGTGTTATAGTACTTTAACTGTTATGTTTTAAGTAACAATGTTTAATTATAATTAATACTACTGCACCAACACTCCGATCGTGCAAAAAAATTTGCTGTTTCATTATTTTTTAGTTCAATTAGTGGTCTACCTAAGTTCTGGGCTAAGGGGGGGGGGGGGGGGGGGGGGGGAGAGTCATGACGCCCCCATGACTCCCATGACCTCCATGACGCTCCCCCCTGGATCCGCCGTTGCGTCTTCTCTTTATTCGCTCAGTAACGTTGTTACAAAAGAAAAGATTCCCGTCCAAAAAATAACAAGTATTGAGGTTTGATCTGGAGTCACGTTACTCCAGACTGATTTCTATAAATATTTAGATTAGATAGACTATTATTCTTGAAATACTAGCTAGACATTATTAAGTTACTGTAGCCATAATGTAGTAGCCCAAACGTGCCAATGAGGAAGCCCTTGGCAAATGCTGCACCCTGATTGGCCCGTTTGAATTGGATCAAGAAGTGCTCGTATGCCAAAAAGGTGGATTTGTATAAAATCGTGTATAAATCACTTAATTATTATTATTACTCGTCGTGACAGTTGTGGCTCAAAACGGAGCAACATTTACATATGGTCATCTGGCATTAGATCAACAAAAGGCCTCCGGATCAACAAGTGAAAAAGGATCAACAAAAAACTACCTATACGGCACGTCTGAGCCACAAAGTGCCCAAGGGGATATTTATATATGTATATATATATATATATATATACATATATATATATATATATATATATATATAATTTTATAATATAAGATAAACAAAGTTAAGATACATCTAAATCTATTAGCGTGAACGTGCGTATTTCATGTACCAGCTCAAAATTTTAACGATTTGAAAACTACTACTACCTAGGTATTATTTGACTCTGAAATTGATAGTTATGAACATCTTACCTAAAGATTAATAATTGATTAATTGAAACCACACTACTAAGTATATTATATCAACAGAGAATGATCATGTTAACCAACCTCGTAATTCATATCCGACTTAACCTTAATTTGGTTAACGAAGATGTGTCGGCTGATATTTTTGCATGGTTTAATGGCGTGTCATGGATATGGGTTGAGGAGGAAACATCAAGTATTGTGTTACGGGCTCACTGGTCTTTATCGAGGCGAAATTTCATTATACGTACCCCTATTCAATTGGAACACCTTCACACAATTGGAAGGGCGGCCTCAATGGGTTGTCGGATGAAATTTCTTAACATTCTTCGCTCATTATGAGCATAGCCTGTCGTGCAATAGGCAGGCAGCAGTAACGGTGTAATCGTATTGCGAAATGAGATCGACAGATATTAAGGGAGATTAAAATACGCTTAATGAACCTTGATAATAAAATTACACGTTGATGTTTCTAAGGTCTAATTAATTTCTACCTCTGTTACTATTAACAGATTTTATTTTTGGAACTACAATTTGTTCTCATAATATTCAATATATATTGCATATGATTTGTTTATTTAGATATTTTATAATTTGAAAACAAAGATTTTAATGTAAAAAACTTTTAACCGTATTAATAAATTTCTGGCTTCGTTAAAATAGTTTATAATATAGTAAATCCCATATCAAAGATGTAAGTGGTCGTGTAGTAAATCACTAGTAATGAAGACATCATTAAGAAACCGGTTTATACGGCTAACCGAACGGTCGAGTTCAACATCTTTTTCTCAGAATGTAGTGTGACCAACATGAATCACTGAAATTTTAGATACCCATCACATTCACTCGGTTATAGACTTCATAAAAACAAACATTAATCATTACCTATGTATTTATTTTCAAAGAAAATTAAAATTAAAAATCAATTTTTCATGTGAGGTTGAATATAAATCCCATTGCATACAAACAAAATAACCAGTGTATAAAATGTTGATATCCCTTTAGTATCATTTGAGAATGGGGGAGATTTAAAATATTTACTCCAAAAGATCTACTGTCAATTGAACAAAAATCACTCATGCGCTAAACCAACATCATTAATCATTGCGAATAAAATTTTGAACTTGACAAGCCAGTAAGCCCATAGGCACTTGCATATAATTTAGGCATTTTATAAATGTATGTTGACATTTTTCGAATATTTATTTTTTCCTTTCTATGTTTTCTTTGCCTGTTGTTTTAATTTAATTGGCAATTATTTTTAAGTATATTTTTATATTAAACTATATGTTTTCTATATTTTTACAATATATTTATTTCAATTATCTATTAATGAAATTGTCCCATAGTTTACATAATAAACATGTAATTGTATCTATTCACATATACCCCTTTCAAGTTCTGTTTTTTGAGGTCTGTTATCTGCTTAATTCATCTTGTGGACTCTTTCAAGGGGCGATCCCTGGCCGCATTCAGAGCAAGATATCGGTCACATGACGAAGGAGCGACATTAATGTTAAATTTACCAGAAGACATTTATTTAGCCACTGATATTTAGGATAATCATCTCTATGAGAAGCAAAATTGTAATTGCAAATTTTCTCATGTGATATTTATTATCATATTCATGAATAAAATTAATGGACAACTATTGTTATAATCCTGTTTAAAATAATTACACAATCAAAAATAAATATGACACATTCTGTGCACTTCATCTACTTTTAATGTGAAGTGGACTAAAAGCACCCAGAAATGATGTTTAATCCTTACATATAACTCTATAGGTCTTTATTATATTTATTAAACTTTTATATATATATGTGTATAAATGCAAATCACTTTTGGAGGTTTTTAGATTATTCGTATATACGATCACATCAATTTTGAAAAAAAATATTTTGATTTCATAATGAAACTCTCCCAAAATCTAAAAACGGCAACATTTTCAAAGGAATAGGTATATACTCGTATTATATATATGTTATCAATTAACATATCGTCATTCTTTTTTTTTTATTTCATAACTTATGTGAATGTTTTTCCTAAATAATCTCTATATAGTTTTTATTAGATAGGGCGAAAGGGGTGACTGCGTGCGTACCCCTGCCTACATATCTCAATGCGGTTTTCATTACTGAGGTGTGTTTAATGCCACTGCTAGCAGCCGTAATGGTCTTCGTAGCCATTACGTACCCCACAACGACACGTACTATTTTTTTAACACAAAGTCAACATTAATTGTCATTTTTATTGTGTAATGGGCGTATATTTTGCCATTTTTACTTGCCTATAATATAATTTTATTAGTTCCTTTGTATCAAGTCATATGGACAACAATTGGTGTAACAGTTGTTTCCTAGATACATTACGACGATTGCATTTACTATGATTTATTATCGTTTATGTGGTGTATTATTTTTAATAATTTATTCAATTAACACTCTATTGTTCATAGGTAATTATATGAAGTCAGATTAAATATTATAAAAATATATTTTTAATAAACAAATTGATTATTCCGGGTTAGTATATTAGTTCTATGACTTTTTTTAGTCAGGTTATTGCAACGTTATCTAATAAAAACACCATTAAAATAATATTACTATTCGATATAATATTTAGTAAGCGATACAGGTTTAAGTACATACATTGTAAGCATTAAGGCTTAAGAGCCTTAATACTTACAATGTACTAGTAGAAGTAAATTATCTTGTGTGTCAAATAAAATACAATATTCTTTAATACTTAAACATACAATAATAACTATTATGGTTTATTAAGCATACAATTTGTCTGTGAACGTCAAAATTCAACTACGGTATAATTAACCATATGTCAATATTGACACAATATAATATTTAAATCTTATTTTCAACATATTTCATAACATTCTGAGCATTTAACAAATTCGCGAGCTATTTCATCTTTTGTATTCGCTGCACGCCCGTCGCATTTTATACAAGCAAAATTAGGCCTAGGATAGGCCTAAATTATGCGGCACCTCAAATTTATTATTATTTTAAACTTATTACTGTATTTTTAATACCTAAAAATGTTAATTACAAAATGTGTCTGGAGTTTATTTGTTTAGGCATATATATTATTAAATATATTTTTTAAGACAACCCTTTCTCTTTGCAGTGTATTCGAAGATATGCCCTCGAACAATGTTATTGATCAGACTCTCACATAATTAAAGTGTTCAGTGATAAATTACAGTTTCTGAAAATGTATCAATTGAACGTTAGGACTATGGGGGCCTCAGCAGTTGTGGTACGGTGGTTTATTTACCTGCTCGTTGGACTAGGGTGGCAGGTTCGATCACAAACTGTAGAACAACCAACTATAGTGGACAATTCCTATAATATGTACTACGAGCAACCATGCTGTACTGGAACAATTACTAAAAATAAATACCACATGAGACACAGGCGAGGTAAGTCAATTATTCATATTTTTCTTTAGAAAATTATATCTAATATTATATATCTGCAAGTTTATAGAATATTTATAATTAAGTATATACGATTTAGTATACATTATATATTGTAGATAAAGTTTTATGTACCGATATACAAAATATTACCAAAGTTAAAGAGTATTGAAGAATATTATGTATAACATTAATAGTTATATCCAGTAATAATTTAAAATGTATTTATATAGTTTTAGCTTAATTTTAGTTCATTTACCTGTTATTTTTCATTACTTCAAGCTGGTTTATTTTTATGCATTCATGATGACGAGACACTGATAACCTTGAAATACTGGTTTTATCTAAATCTACATCGGGCACCAGTGTCGCACAATATACAATACAGGTCTCATAATGTAACAAAAACACATACGCAACTTACTACTGTCATTATTTTTTAATTTTATTTAGATAGTACCATAGATTTTGAATAACAATTAATTTAAGCAGAAGAGAAGAGAGAGAAGGGAAAATAAATGTGTATGTTACACTTTTATTTTCCCGTCGCACACATATACTAAAAAAATTGGACTGCTACCTTTTTCAAATATTACAGTGATTTTTTTTTTTACCAACAAACCAAACAATTGTTAAAAAAGAACAATAATAATAATAAGAGAGAAAAAATAATTAAAAAAGACTAATATTAATCTGAATTTGTACCGAACAGAAATTTAATAAAACAATTAACCTATTAAAAAAAGTTCTGGCAAGGTATACCATAACTTTTTTTACCATTACCGTATATATAGGTATGTGTGTATAAGATTTTCTTGTGACAAGTGTAAAAATTTATTATATTTAACATTGTAGGATTATTTTTATATCAATTAGACTATATAAAAACAATATAAAGCTTAGATACAGACTTAAATTACTGCGATTATTATACGCTACTAAGTACTAACTGAAACTAAACTCAAAAATGATTTGTATATATAAACCAATTTTATCTCTGTTCTCTAATGTAATTAAAATAATAATAATAAAAATAATATTTTAATTTATTGTTCTCATCTCATACATAAAAAAAAACCAATCAAAAAATAATTAAAATTATACCCATAGCATGAACCTTATGATTAATAAAAACCTCGGCCTTATAGAAATATTAATATCATGTATATACTATCACTAACACATTCATAATAAGGGACTCAATCAGGGGTTCGTGATACGAGACAAAAATATGAACATCGATAAGAGGAAATGAGACAAAAGATATCTTTTGTTTCATTGCACCCCAAGAGAAGATGTCGCTCATAAAGATTTTAATACAATCGAACTTAATATTTCCTTTAGCGTTCATTTCTGGTTTATGCGTGATTTTCTTCACTCATTTGTACTCTAACATACAATGGAATTTGAAGCTTTGTGAATTGAGGTGAGTATTTATTACGCAGTATAATTTAAATTATTTTTCTTTAGTGTTAGAACATTTTCTGATGTAAATTACTAAGTTTACATATATTCTTTTTAAATATTAAAAACTGTAAAAATATTCAGTGTTTAGCAAAAATATCTATATTATAAGTTCGTTATTAACTTATTATATATATTGATATATATTTAGATTACTTTTAAAATTTCAACATAAATCCAACAATAAATATTAGACTTAATAATTGTAACTTTAAATATAAATTTAAAACCATATTAAAAATATTCTTAGAAATAAAATAAATTTATTTAAGAAAAAAACCACAGTGTTTAGCTCAGATTTAAGAAAAAATGTACATGTATATAGAATTAGGTAGCTTACATAAAATATCATAACTAATGCTGTTGCGTACAGCTTACGTTGGTTATAACTAAATTTAGAATCAATCTTGAAATCCCGGCAATAAAATTGTCAACGATTCCAAAGTGTCGTCCTGACAATATTATTACGAACATGTTTAGAATTACATTTCTATGACAAAGTGACAATTAATATTTTTATGACTAATTTAGAATGCCATTTCAATGAAAAATGTTTACAATAATTAGGAATAGAATCGATGTCGATATTTTAAGAATCAATTGATATCGATATATATTATTCCCAATAAACTTTTTACATCTCTTGCACAAGTCTGTGTCCAGTAAAATATTGTAATCCAGTAAAAAAAAAAAGTAACATGAGCAATTCTTATATTCAATAAGAGTCAACATTTGATCAGAAATCGCTAATCAAACAAATTTGTTATGAATATCAATTACAAATAGAGTGTTATCGCTTACCAACAAAGTGTGAAATTAAAATGATAATTTAGTTACTACTAAATCATACTTATAAAAATAATTTAGAAACAAATATATTACTATAATAGATATATAATTACGTTAACTTATAAATATGTTACAAGTACAGCTTATGTAAGAAGTCTAATTGATATAAATGCAGCATATACTTAATAATATTCCTAACTAAAGATTCTTGTTTAAAATTGTCATCCACTTATATTTAAAATAAAAGATGGCCTATGGACGGACATATTTTTGTTTTAGCATGAATAATTGCCATTATTTATCTGCACGATCCGTGATCATTCTGAATTACAATATTAATGTGAAATTCTACACTGCCATTTAACATTATGAGCCTAAACAGTATGCTGAGGTCTTAATTAATTTGAGAACTTCCATCATTAAGACTCGTTACAGTTAATGAAAATCCACTAATCGCATGTGTTTCATTAATAACAACCCGTCTTTTCATACTATAGAAGATTGATATTTTGTAAATTAATACATTAATTTAATATATAATGTACCTACTCTATTAATATCATCATACAAATTGTATTAATCCCCAATAGTATCTTTGGAATTAGTATTAGTCAATACTAATACGTTATCAAGTTTTATAAATATTTATAACGTTAGAAAGAGGAGAGAGGGGATATAATTATGTACCTATATTTATTTTTATACGTTATATTCTACATGATTTTCCCCTTGCGTTTGGTGAACAAAATCAGGGGTTTTCGGTTCAACTCAAACGTCACCAAAAGTGTCAATCATGGATGTTTTCGAATAGCAAAACCGATTATCGGGCATATTAAGTCGGTTATTGTTATCGACAGCGGCATCCCGTCCACCCGACCGTGAAGTAGATTAGGGCCATCATAATAATGCCATATTTTTGGCGTCAGCTGCACGCATCGCATGCAAGCCTAGCAACTTATTTTTTGCACAAATTTCTTATTAAACCTCCACTTTGCAATTCAAGACGTTGAATTTTTTACATGCCTATTCTTAATCTGTTTTGTGTATTCAAAACGGAATTGAAGTATTTACATATACTTAGGGGATGTTAGAAGTGCAAAAATTGGAAAACTTTTGCGAACGATCAGAAAATTTATCTCAATTCTGCGTTAGGTTAATTTTAAAGCGAAATTGTCGAGAGAGGCGGATAAAATATCTGTGAATTAAACAGGAAAAGCGAAACTAGCTACTATTATGTTACTAATTGTAAGGGTTGAAGGCTTGGACGATAATCGGGTGAGGCTAAAAGGGCTGAATAAGTTTGGGACGATTCTTTAGCGAAGTAAACGAGAGGATGGACAAACGCTGCTAGCGTAGCCTGTCATTAGTGAGGGCAATGTTTTACAAAAGTTGTCCGCACGCTGTGTAGAGTTGAATAGCGTTTAATGAAAGGCTCGTTCTAATATATACAAATGTATATACATAAATTCATATAAAGCTCTCAAAATTACCCTTAAACATTAAATGTTATTATTACTATTAACACATTTAAAAAAAAATAATTGAAGGGATTGGATTTATTGAAATAATCGTATAATTTATTACAGAGTAATACATAACGTAGATATTCACTTTCTTACCAATATTTTTTTTCTATTAGTTTCATAAAATTAAAATTGATGTTTAAAAACCTAATTAGACATGATTTTTAGTGGTTACATATATGGTCACAATTTTCCAACAGAATAGCCAGTAGTTTGTTAGTTATTTTTAGAAATGGAAATATGTGCGAGAGAAGTGAATACAGTAATAACGAACTCATAGACAGAAATGGAAAAGTAAAAATGTTGTGCTGACTCCAAATGGAATAAAGGGAAGAACATAATCAGATGTAACAGGATGATATTGTTATTTTCTGAAATGCGTAGATATAAAAACTTTAATTGTATGATAATCCTAAGAATACAAGTAATATATTATATTGGATAGTTATATTATGACTTTTACAAAACAGTTTAAAAAGTAGCTAGTTGATTTGGCCGTGTGTCAAGATTATTCTAATCCAGCCTATGACATTGTACCATATTAAACCGATCACCACGTGTCCTGGAAATCATCATATTTTATTGCTTTCCAATTTCTGGTGCCACTATGGCCTAAGTAACCTGACTTAAGGCTCATTCTATTTTTCCTCTGTTATGATCCAGTGTATACTGTTAGCGCAGTCGGGTGGATCATTCTATAGTCATCCATTAAAAAAATTGTTTTCTGTCGTATAATCATCGGAAATTTTAAATATCCTACAAGTTTAAATTTTTAACAAAATCAATATTTCAACCCGAACTAATATCAGTACTTGCTATACCCTAAACAGCGATTATTGCAATTGGAATAACCTGTTCTTTTTATCCTCTTAATTTATTAAAAATGTAGAAAACAATAAACTTGTTTAAAAAAACTCGACATTTAAATGGTTAAGTAACCATGAAACACTAAGGACTTTACTGTTGTACAGCAGGCTGGATGTCACAGAATTCCAAGTTAGTGGCGACTAAACAAAAACTGTGCAGGCCGAGTTCAAAGAAAGAGTACTCGACCAGGCGAAAGCGAAAAAGGTAAAAAGCACACAATAAGCCAAGGAGACGCGCGCGAGGCGGGTCTCGACTCCACTGTAGCGTCCGTGAGCACTAAAGTTATATTCCTTTGACAAATGACCAGAGCTCGTTTTGTACTAGATCATTCGTATTTATAATATTTATTATGCTTGTCTA